AGAACAAGAAGCAATGGGTGGAAACTAATTAAGGAGAGAAGCAACTTAGAACTGAGAAGGGATTTCCTGACAGTTAGAACAATTAATCAGTGGAGCAACTTGCCTCCAGAAGTTCTGAATGCTCCGACACTGGAAGTTTTAAAGAAAATGTTGGATAGCCATTTGTCTGAACCGGTGTAGGGTTTCCTGCCTAAGCAGGGGGTTGGACTAGAAGACCTCCAAGGTCCCTTCCAACTCTGTTTTTCTATTCTATTCTATCATTGCTTTGTTCACCCAAAAATTTTCAATGAGGAACCTTTTTAAAAAGGTGTTTCTTCTTTATCAACTTGTCTGTTTTTTAAAAAAAGAACCAGTAAATTTGGGCACTGTTTTGAAAAATGGATTTGGATTTGGGAATAGGAAGAAAATATATTTGTTTGAATGCAATATCCCATTGAATTTAATTTGCAAATCCTTCTGGCAAATTATTCCATAGGCTTTCATGGACCACAGCCTGATTCAGCAAAAGCAGGGATAAAGTCATGAGAAAAGGAAAAGGAAATTTTAAAAAAATGTTGTCTTAGGAGTGTAGTCCTTACAACTAGTGCAGTGTGATTCTGTGATTTAGGCAAGGAGGGTGAAACTGCAAGTTGTCAGAATATACTCGGTTGCCATTAAACCAAAAGTCTAAGAGTTGTTTTTTTTTTTACGATCTGCAACAGAAGCAAACAATTTAATTACAGACGAAGATAAAGAAATTGCTCCCCGCCCCGCCCTGGAGACCTGCAAACAGAGCCTGTCAGGGCAGCCTCTCCTTCTCCCGCCCATAGCAACCGCGCTTAGCAACACGCGCGCGGCTGGATTGGTCGGAGCTGCCTAGATCTTCGGTCCTTTGGAGCGTCGGGTCGGCTTTCTATGCAAGTCCGAGGCTGTATGGCCTAGTCCGAAAGGGATGCTAAAAGTAAAGCTCCTTTTCGTAGGCCCCAGCGAGGTGAGTGTGGTTCCAAGACCTTCTCAAAGAAAGGAAACCTCTCGCGGTCTTGTTTCTTGACTCCTCGTCCTTTTTCTAAATCGGAAGGGAAAGGCTGCGAGGCAAACGGGAGTTACAGCCTACTAACTGCTCCGAAGATCGCCAGGCGGGGAAGTATGGAGTTCCGTTGTCTTCACTTGCCTCGGTACATTCCCAAAGGCATCGGGTTGCCTAAGGGTGAGAAACAGGCTGCTGAAGAATTGGATGCGAGCTTGGCATATTCGAGAAATGCATTTTCTATTCCTACTGACAAGGGTCAATAGAATAGAATAGAATAGAATAGAATAGAATAGAATAGAATAGAATAGAAT